GGGGGCCGTTTTCCCCCCGCCCCCCCCCCACGCCTGTTACGACACTGGCTAACACGCCAATCATCCCCCCCCCCAAATAAAAAATATTTTTCTACGCCACTGTCAAAACGTATGCACAACACTGTATTATTGTATATTTAATACCCTTCCTTGATGATAGAATTTCGTTCACCAATCGATTCAGAAACCAATACGTTGTGCATCCGAAAAAGTAACCCCACCACTCACATGCTTCGTAACGGAAACCTGAGCAGAGATCTATGCGAACATGCAGTACAGTACGTCTAATGGTTTGTAATAATTGTCTTGCCCAAACCCAACGGATGGACCAAGAGAAGAACGTCTAATGGTTTAACGGTAGGCCTGATATTTCAAAATGTTAATTTTCAATTATAAATAATATACAGTATTTGATACTTAATTTGGATTTTAGTCTTAAGCCGGGCACTCACTGCGTCGTCGGCCAACTATACTCCCTGTGAACGCCAGACGATGCGACGCCGTCTGATTGTCGGCAGCAGTCTAAACGGATCGTCATTCAAACTCGGTTTCCATAGAATCGCTCACAGTTGCCGACAGTTGTCGGGAAGGTTGAACCTGGTTGAAGGTTGAACTTTGACGATTGCGTTGCAGACGAATTGGTGTGCCTTTCCGATTGCGGCAGGGCAGCTAGCAATGCACCCTGAATTGTCTGTAACGCAATCGGCACAGTTGAACCAGGTTCAACCAAAGAGTATAAAACTGCAAGAGGTCCGACTGCCGGGGATTCTTTGGAACGCAATCCTATTTCAAAAAGTACTACCCAAAAGGGGCGTGGCTTTAAAAAGTACGTAATGTGCGTTCATATCGAACGCGTGCTGCGCGTCTATGGAATGTATGCTGGAATTCGAAACGCAGCACGCGTTCGATACGAACGCCTTTAACGTTCTTATGAAGGACACGCCCCTTTGTGGGAGTACTTTTTAACGTTCCATTGCCTGTATACAAAATAAGGGCAGTTGGACCTCTTGCAGTTTTATACTCTTTGGTTCAACCATGGAGGTATTATTGAGAAGGAGATCACTCGGCAACAGATCAATTTGACGCGACAAACCTATGTGTTCCCCGCTTTTGGATCGCGCGCGGGCGTATTACCCTATAATTCACATTTTTTCGTTAGCAACAACTTGGCAACGACATACATTTATACGCTTCCAGCAGAGCAGTTGTGCAATAAAACGTTTGATTTTAACCCATTAAATATCTTTATAATGAACAATGTTCCCCTGATTAGATTTTTTCGG